GTTTATGTTTAGGGCTTTAGGGATTTAGGGTTTAGGGTTGAGGGCCTCTTTCAATCTAAACTCTCCATCCAGAACCCGAAAGGCCCGACAAAACAGATCCTTGAATTGACAAGCTGCAACCGAGCAATAGCAGTAGCCTGATTGGCAACAGCGGAAATGGCCCAGGTACTCAGTAAACTAACAAGAGGGCATGCTCCAAGAAGAAGAAGAAGAACAACAACAACATGCGGTATGGTGGTGGTGGTGGGCTATCGCCATCACAGGCATAGCCCGTAGCAGTTAGCCCTGCCGTCGTGACCAACGTCACAATCATCTTCTTCCCGGTCACTAGCACCATCATGACAAGTCTTCAACAAGTGCACCAGTGGGAAAGCCGTAGGAACAGCGCTAGCCGCAGCAGGGTTTGAAAAGCAGCCCCGAAATCCCGATCCTGATTCAACCCGAAACACCGTCTCCCAATAACCCCGACTTTGGGACCAGAGATGAAGGCTTAAGGTTCATAGGGGTTCGGGTTTAGGGGTTTAGGGCCGTTTAGGGGTTCAGGCGTTTATGTTTTAGGGGTTTAGGTTCATAGGGGTTCAGGGTTTAGGGGTGTAGGGGTTCAGGGGTTTAGGGTTTAGGGGTCTAGGGGTTTAGGGGTTTAGGGCTTCGGGTTTAGGGCTTAGGGTTTACTAACAAGAAGGCCATGGAATAACATGAGTACGACTTAGACTGCGACTGCGGCTACGACCACGACTACAACTACGACTGCTACGAATTTTCCAGAATAGTGAGACATTTTGCACGAGTCTTCACAAACAAGATATTGACAATAATGATGTTAAAGATTAACGTGCTCGATAATAACAACGAAGATCGTCTCTTTATTCATGCGCAAATTCGTACGAACATTACCAGTATCAGCATACAGACTGGCCTTAACATTGACCGTATCCTTGTTAAAGTTAATGCTAGCATAAGTCATCATGGTCATGATGATGATGATCATCATCATCGTCATCATCACTGAACCACCCAAACTCTGGGCATCTGGCCATTCAGATCGGCAAGTTCGTTACCCGAGGCCTAGGAGGTCGAATCGGGGCTTCTTGAACTTGGGACTAAGAGTTCAAGGTTTGCAGTTTAGCGTAGAGGTTTCTTACTACTTAGGAGATAGCCCAGGGCCCAAGAGGTCAGGGCTCACGTTCAGTATAGTGCACAGAAGCTGCTGATTTTTGGTTGAAGGTAGGGGTCCTGATACATTTAGGACCTTTAGTATTTGAGTCTGTATTTCAGGGTCTCCGATTTTCTGCAACTCCCCAACATCTGTTCAACTTCATAATTTCTATGACCTTGCTCTGCGGCTGGACGTTTATGGGGCTTTGTACTTTCCAGCGAATGTTGTGCTTAGGATGCAGCGCAGGGGTGCGCAGACGCTTGTTTATCGGGCTTCATGGTTCTGGCTTCAAGGCAACAGAACAAGTGCCAGACGCCTTAAAACCTATTATAGGGGCCTGAATAAATAGAATAGGGTTTTGGGGTCCTCTTTAGTATAATGATATCAAGGAGCCACCAAAATAAGAAAGGTAATTGTTGAGGCCCCTATACTATCAAATTGACCCTGAGGCCCTGAAACCCCAAGAACTCGACCCCAAAACCTGTGAAGAAGTTGCCTCAAACCTTGAACTAAACTTGGCCCTAAGCCCTGGAACGCTCGGGGTTAGGATTCCGAATTGAGTGTCCACGGTCTGCCACTTAGGACAGAATGGGATTTTGAGATATGTTTATAGTACAGCTGCGATTTAGATACAATTCAGGAACCCCCCAAAAAAACACAGGCAATCTTTCGACTTCTATAGTACCTCCTGTCTGCCAGTCCCTCTACAAAAGATAAAGGTTTGGGGTTTAGGGTTGGTGATGGCATACTCAGAACAGTCTCCACTGCAATACTGGCAGCATAAAGCCCGCAAACCTACAGCCTTAACCCCAAACCAACGAAGATTAATGCAGGGGTATCGGGGCCACGGGTTACGATTTAGGGATTTAGGGCTTAGAGTTTTATTAGAGTTGTGGGTGCAAAGTTCATGGTTTAGGGTTTCGGGTCGAGGAAACGTTTGTATTGGTGGTTCTGTTGGCAAGCTTGCTCTTGCCATGCTGTCATTGCTATGATTAAGACGGTGAGCGTTCTTCGCATCAATAAGGAACCTAAGGAACACTGCTTGTAATTATTCCCGGCTCCCCAAGTAATCTCCACAAGCTTGACTTAAACCCTACAGACACTCAGCCCCAAACCGTTAGTTTTCCCAAAGCCACTGACAGGTCGGCTTTTTGCAAGAGCTTGCCATCCCTTTGGCCTTCGTTTCTGCGGTCGGCCACTATAATCCGGAGACTCCATGCGGCCATGTGTTGTGTTTGGGAATAATGGCCAGAGTGGCTCGATCTAAGCGCCCTGATGATTAAAAGTTCGGCTCTGAACCTTCAAGCCTGGGTTGTCTTGTAGCTTGAGTTTTCTAAGGTCGTCTGTCAGGGCACTATCAGTCAATGGCCTTGGGGCTGAAAATTTAAGGTCTGTCAGTCAATTGCCACTGCGCAGATGAAGGCAAACACGGCCCCAAGGTTCATCAGGTCTAGCAACATCGAGATGCCATGGACCATTCCTTCCAAGCGGGGCTGAAAAGGGCTCGTTAGGGTCAGGGGTGTCTAAGCCTGATCTCCCTGTGTCATTCAACCCAGAGAACTAGAGAACCCAATACCCCTTAATTAAGGAATATACCTTAAATTATAGGGGCCTTAATATTATGATTTACGGTATACTCCTTAATTAAGGGGTATTGGGTTCTCTGGGAACTTTCTATTTGTCAAGATAGCTGTGAATGGTAGAGCTTCGGCATCGGTGTTGCCTGCTCCGGTCCCAATCACACGAGGTCTTCTTAGGGGTTTAGGGTTTAGGGTTTAGGGTTTTAGGGTTTAGGGTTTAGGGTTTAGGGTTTAGGGTTTAGGGCCATACCGTGTAAGTAGCCACTTCAATTGGGAGCATGGGCTATTGCTTCGGTCTTTGTATCTCGGATTGGCGGGGAAGCTTCTGACCCCTAAACCCTAAACCCTAAACCCATAGCAGCAAGCCTGCAGGCCGTCTAGGGGTTTAGGGTTTTGGGCCAACTTGCAAACCCTCCTGCAAACACGAAGGTCGCAGCGTAGACTTGAGGAGCCAGCCGGCCACGGACACATACCCAGTTTCAGGGTCTGTGTTATGTATGCATGTATTATATTATTATTATTACAACTATTTATATTATTATTCTTCTTATTATTATTCTTATTATTATTATGATTATATATATATATGTATATCTATATCTATATCTATATCTATATATATATATATATATTATACATATATATATATTATATAGTTATATTAGTTATATCTGGGGGCTTGTACTTGCACCAAGCCTAGGGCCTAGGAAGAGCTGAGGGGCCTGCCACACCTAACATACACAAATGCTCCGACCCCAAGGGGTTTTGGGTGTTGGAGTTTAGGGGTTTTGGGGTATTGGAGTTTAGGGTTAGGATCAAACCACATCCTCGGAAGCAAGTCAGCGACGCAATGGAACGCTAAGACCTGCATCCAACATCGAGATCTAGACTTTGCGCGGTGCTTGTGATCACTCTCTACCACTACTATTGCCGCCCTACCCTTTGCTACAAACTACGAACTACTAACTACAAACCATTCTGTCCTTTTGCAGGACAAGTGTCCGAACTTCTTCTTGGCTTCCTTGGATGCCTCGCTGAGCAGCGGCGCGCTGCTCGAGGCGTCCTTGAGGTGCTGCTGGTAGAGGCTGACCTTTGCATGTGGTGGGCTGTATGGGGTTCAGGGTCAAAGGCCTAAGATTTCAGGGTTGAGGCTTTAGGGTTTCAGAGTTCAGGCTTTGGAGTAAAAAGGATTAGGGGCTAGGTCAGTGTCGTGATTCAAGTGTAACTGTAGGGTTTACATAGGTTGAGGGCGCAGGGTTCGGGGTTTGCTTTCTTGGGGTTCTCGGGCTTGGGGTGTGAGGGCTTGGAACCACAAAAGCCCGGTAGACAGTCCTCAATCCTCAAAATCGAGGTTTGAACAAGAAAGTACTGGCCTCAAGTATCACTATCCCTTTGTAGTCCATCTGTAGCTACTGTAATTTTTTTCTACGCACAAGTTACCCCAGAAATTTCTAGGTATTCCAGCCCCTGCGAACTTAATTGTTAGGGATGCACCATGATATACCTTGAGGGATTGGCACTTTCGTTCACGAACAGGGCAGGGAGCAAAGGAATCTCAAGTCCGAGGATTCGAAGGCAGCCTGCAAATTGCAAACGTCTGAATTGGCGCCGACTCCTTTACCCGAAAGCCGCAGGGAAATATGGTGAGGGAATTTCACGAGGGCTTGCGCCTCAGCATTCTTCAGTCAAAAATTCCTGATTTCCGGGCCAGGACTTGTCGGGACTTTGATTAAAGGGATACTACTAGGACTCTGCATGAATCGTATTCATGGCTCACAGGGACGTAGCACCCCAAACGCTGAGTCGTGTGAGCGCCGCGCCATCAACTGGGTCGTCTTTGGGCCAAGACCAAACCTGCGTCATCAGCAGAGCGCAGAGGATCTCTCCACATCAAGCGAACTTCTGGGGCGGAAACAAAACTGTGCATCACTGTAGATGACTGTTGTACTATGATGCTCTGCCTCATCATCAGAAAGATGGCTGACCCCATCTTACCAGTATTTCCATTGGTAACCACCACTTCCTGGTTGGATGCCCAGCGGCAGGTTGATCAGCGCCAAAGCGATCGCTGCCATCATCGCAAGGTTGGCCACATCCCACACGGACGCGGTCGCCCAGCGCCCCCCAAGCGCCACCAAGCACGCTGCCTAGAAGACACGGTTACTGTCTAGGATGTAGGGATCAGTAAGGGGCTTTGTTGCTCGATGGAGACACCTGGTTACAACCCCCGCATTCTCTGAGGGCCAGGGTCAGCAACGGGATCCTCAACAATAAGAATCCTAAACAGAGGGGGCAGGCGGAGCTTGTTGACAAAAGGTCTGCAGGTCTGCAGTATTGCTATTCGCGTGTGCATGTCTTTCAGGTCTTCTGTTTACGGAAAGCTGAATCTTCCGCGTCTACAGGATAAAACGCTCAAAGCTTCCAGGGTGCTCGCTATATCATCCCATGACCCGTCAGTTTCATAGCTATCAACAACAAGTCGAACAGTAACCACCACGACGACGACGGCGCGGAAGACAACAGCTGACATGGCGACGACGACACATCAAATCACTTGAATGCCGCAGGTATGGCAACTGTGTTCCTGATAAGTATCAATATGAGTGCTAACTTTCCAGTGCCAGCGTCAAACCATCATAACCACAACCGCCAAGCTCACAAAATCAAACTTGTACGAAGACCCGGGCACAGTCTGCAGCGCGAAGAACTCTGGGAAGCACGCGGCCTGGTGCACTCAGCATGCAACTTGCCTTAGGTTGAGGTCCATGAGATTTATGGTTTCGAGATGTTTTGTGTCTGGGGTCTACGAACCTAGGTCTCATCCTTCTCTGCTTTCGGCTCTGAAAGGTGCAAATTACGACACGTTTGAGGCTTCGCGCCTCACTGGAGTGCAGTGTTTTGGATTTAGCTTCTATCAGCCCCTTAGGCCTATAACTGACATATTCTGTGTAATGACCCCCGGGTTTACATTATATTAAACATGACAAGAGCTCCAAGAGAACACGCAGGTTCAGGGTAACGTAGAGAGAGTATATAAACCCTAAACCCTAAACCCCTAAACCCTAAACCCTAAACCCCTAAACCCTAAACCCTAAACCCTAAAGCAAACCCCTAAACCCCTAAACCCTAAACGCTGGGCCAGCCTGAAGGGTACTGAACGCCTCCTTGCCGAGCCATCGCGACTCCTGCTGAGGTCTTCGGAGACTCCAATATCCCTTAACTAGGGAATATTCCTTAAATCTTATATTAGGGTTCCTTAAAAGGGGTCGATATGGGTTCTATAAGGGAATATACCTTACATCTTATTAGGGTTCCTATTATAATTTAGGGTGTATTCCTTAATTAAGGGATAATGGAGTCTCTGGGTCTTCGGAGCAGCGTGAGTTCCAGCTGAGAAGCCGAAGCTTCGGGCTGGTGGCATATGTTGCAATCAAAGGCCAAAGCCCAACAAGACAAGACAAAAACAAAACAAAACAAAAAGAACCCTGAAGCCTTCGACGTCCGCCTCTCACCGTAACTGTAGTTCCTTCATTTTTCGCGAGTCAAGCTCGTGAGTGCAGCTGCATGCTACTTTTTGCAGACGAGGTTGGTCAACCCACCCAACGCGACGCCTGCACTGTAAGGCTTAGAAAACCCACTGCCCATAAGAATCAAAACCCGAGCCCAGACTCTTTAAAAAAAGAGTGGTACCCCAAACCCTAAATCCTAAACCGTGGGCTATAGGCACAGCCTGGTTCGCCTCGCCTTTTCGGATTTACGGCCGGCTCCTTGCAGCAGACTGCGTACATCCGCGGGCCATATCGCAAGAGCCACACCTTCGAGCGCTGTATGCGCCCCATGAGCCCTAAACCCTAAACCCTAAACCGGGGGCCCTTCGATAAACTAGACCCTACTAATCCGATGGGCTGTGCATCTCTTAAAAAAAAACCTAAACTCCCTAAACCCTACTCATGTAGGGGTTTTAATAATTACCGATACTGTTTTGGGGGTTCCTTATTGTAATGGTAGTATAATGGGCCCCAAAACCCTATTCTATTGATTAAGGCCCCTATATTAATCCGAAGCCTCCAAACATGATGCACTAAAGCCCAAGTCTTAACACCCAAAACGCCTCCGGTTCTGCAACCGTGCCTTGCTTGTTGCCGAGGCTTCGCATTCTCTTACTTGGCTTGGGGCTTAGGCTCAGGAGTTCAAACTACTAACGCTACTAAGGATGCTATAACCTTCTTACCCCCGGAGACGGCAGCCTGGGTTTGGTGGAAACTGGTAAACTCAAAGTACACCCCTTAACAGTCCAAGCTGCTGGGCCAGTCGAAACTTGGGAACCGCAGCAGGTGCCAAATCCCTAAATGCAAAGTTGGCCCTACACTGGTTTGGGGTTGAGGGTCCTACTAAACTTGGAGGTGCAAAAACAGCTGCGAAGCTCGTACTTCGCACTCAGCGTTTACGGTTCTCTGAGAATTAGTCGGACGCCGTTCGAAGGCCTGAAACAGCGTCAGGCTCGCGGGCTTTGGAACGGAGGCTAATTTTGGGACTTGCTTCTGCCTTTAAACAAAACATGTTGGTCTCTGAATATTTGGATCCTGAAAACAGTGACCCTGAACGAAGTGGATGCATGATCGCTTGCAGGGGGAAGGCACATTGCTGCCAAAGGCGTACGCCGCGCCAAGCAAGGACACAATCTTGCAGATTCCTCGGACGATCTTCACATTAATTCGAGCACCGAAAAGAACAGGGCCACTACCTCTCATGACCGTTATGAGAACATATGAGAACAACAGTAGTTTGTGCAGCAGTATCTATCGTTGTCGTCCTTGCTGTTAGTCGAATCACAGCTCTTGATGCTCGGTTTATAGTTGAATGCTCTTGTTACTATCTTGTGCATGCTGCCTGTCAATCACGGCCACTCCTGCTTGTGCCGCTGTCGGCCTCATCGTCGTCGTCGGCGGCATCGTCGTCGCAGCAGTAGCAGCAGCAGTACCCTAAACCCTAAACCCTAAACCCCTAAACCCCTAAACCCCTAAACCGACTTAGTACAGTAGTAGCAGTAGCAGCAACCTAGCAGCGGCAGCAGGAGTAGGAGAGGCGGCAGCTATAAGCGGCTGCAGCAGAAGCAGCAGTACCAGCAGCAGTAGCAGTCGCAGTAGCAGTCGCAGTAGACAAAAGCAAGGAGCGGGAGCAACGGCAGTCGCGATAGCAGTAGCAGCAGTGGTCGTCGTCAGCAGTGGTAGTAGTCATGGTTATTGTCGTGTTGTCGTTTTCTACAAGCTACGAGTATTGTGGCGCTTTGAGCTGCGAGTTGTTCCCACCATAACCGATCTACATCCGACTGCCCGAAACTACCGTTACCCAACGTAGGAAAGTAGAAAGTACCATGAGCTACTGCAAAAACCCTACAGCTAGCAGGAGGGGGCCGAAGGGCTGCTGTCTGTAAGCTGGAGAAGCAGACAGAGCAGCAAGGCCGGCAGCACCTGAGAGGGAGGGGGGGGGTTTAGGGTTTAGGGTTTAGGGTTTAGGGTTTAGGGTTTAGGGTTTAGTTAGGATGGTCATATCGCATCCTAAACCCGAGTCGAGCAGCTTTAGCCCCGACGCCCTTCACGCCTTTCTGCTCCTGAAACCCTGAAGCCCAGTGCATGTTGGGACGGGACAAGTGTGGAGAATAAGGGTTTCCTTTCCGGCGAGCTTGATTCATACGACGGATCCGACTATTTAGAGGCCAAAACTAGGGTCCTATGCTTTCTGGCGCCACCTTGTAGCAAGAACATTCAAGTAACGGCGGCAAGAACACAACTGTCCTCAAGAAGCAACGTGCCTTCGAACCGAATGCCACTTTACCTCATCATACACAAAAAGACAAAGCAAAGGATTACAACAGGTATCGTGCCCATCATGACTGCCGAGGAAAATCCTAAAAACGCAAAGTAAGAAATAACAGCTACCAGAAATTTGTAGCCGCAGTAGTAGCAGCGCAACCCACATTTAATGCACTATTTGGTGAAAACAAGCAAAGTAACTGGGAAAAACTTCAAAGCTAACTTAATTATTTACTTGTAACCCAAACCACATGTAGCCTACTGACTACCCATAGGCTCCTAAGTAGTTCCTTTTTGGGATTACCTTCTAGGATTCTAAACATGAACCATAAAAAGGAACTACTTAGGAGCCTATGGGCAGTTCCCGGATCCTAACCTCAAAACCCGAAAGACTAAAGCCTGGGTTGCAGGCTCCGCACGGTCTTTCTGCACCTGGGAGTTTCAGAACATACGGGGACCTCCATACAGACCCGAAAAGGCAGGATCCTTCTTACAAGGACCCATGAGACAGTCAAAAAAAATATATCTCAAGCCGCCCCCAAACCCTGAACCCTAAGCCCTAACCCTGATCTTGACATCCCCACTTCGCTGCAGGGGGGCTAGATGAGCTGCAAGGCGGTAGAAGGGCTCCGTCCGGCCGTACTCCTCCAGGCTTGTTTAAGAATTGTTTGCGCCCGTGTATGTATGTATGTATGTAT